CAGCTTTTCCTTTTATTTTATTTGAATTGATATTAGAATGAAATGAAAACAGATTGTATGGGAAGGGCTCATGCATCATAAACCAGTTTGCTCCAATGTTAAGGGGTGCTAATCACTTTTCAACACACGCAAACCTTTGATAAATTTACCTCTCCCACTGGTTTAATAAAGCCATTAGAAACACATTGCTGCAACTCCCCCAGCTCTGATTACTCCTAAACAAGCTTTCCCCCTTTGACTGTAGAAGGAGTGGACTGACAGTGTTGATAAGGAAGAAGCTGATTAGAACAGGCTTTATGGGTAGGAATCTGTAGTCACATTCAAAGGTAGGAATCACCCATTTCCTCAAGTCTTCAGGTCAGGACTGGACTCACTGGAGGAAATGGATAGAGACTGGTTGGAATGAAAAGACCCCTGTCTACATTTACACCAGAGACATTGAAAACCCAAACAAGAGACTCCTGTGATGATAATTATGCATTCTGATTGGATGCTCTGTTTGAGAGCAAAAATATCAAATGTTATGGTTATGATAGATATTTTGGCCACCGAGTGTACATTTCTCCATTGTGAGATCATTAAAGTTTATCTTATCCTATATCCATTATTTTGTTATGAATAAATCAGCATTAACAAAATGATCAGCTACAGCGAATAAAAAAAATGCTTCGGTTTTATACAGCGCATTTCAGAACACTCAAAGACACCTTACATGTCATTATTCTTTCACTCCATACACGGTGGTGATAAACTACTATTGTAGCCACAGCTGCCCTGGGGCGCACTAACAGAAGCAAGGTGCCATCGGCCCCTCCCACCACCACCAACCATTCTCACACACACCAGACTCATTCTAGGAAATGTGGGTGAAATATCTTGCCTAGGGACACAACAACAGTTTGGCACTTTACAGCCACAGCCGGCCCACTGTGGGACCTGGTGTTCCCAGAGGTGTCCAATTCTGTCGGTGCACACAGAGTACCTTTTTTGCGAATGTATTCCTATGTAGTTTTTATACTGCACATGGCTAATAAAATGAATCTGAATCTGAATCACAGTACTAACCAGGCCCTGCCCTACACAGCTTCAGAGATCTGAGAGGATCTGTATTTCGTAAGTATGTCCACAAATATTATATGAAAATGTTGAAAGAGAAAACATGTGGATGCAATTGGAATTTATTACCTCACTGTCCCTTTAAGTAAATTCAATGTTTTGAATTCATGTTGGGAAAGTGCAACCCGCTGAACTCCGCAAAATACCCAAATCACCACACGGACAATCTTCCCATTTCGCTCTTCTTCATGCATAAAGATCTCAGACGCCCGGGAAACGCAAACGCTTCATAAATCATGCAGAAGTGACGCTGCCAAAGAGTACGGAGGTAAAATGGCGCCTGGTTATGGGAGATGGATGGATGAGTGTGGAAATATATTAGAGATCTCAGGACAGGTGATGGATGACAAACGCTTCGCTCATATCCAGGATTAGCATTTCTGCACATGAATGCTCGCCGAGTGTTGCGTTTAATACCAAGCCCTGTGGCCCTCTGGTTTTACATCTGCCATCATTCATTCATATGGACAGAACATGTATTAGCAAATGAAAAAACATAGAATGAATCTTTACAGAAAGGCATTCTCTCACATGTAGTAGGCCTGATCTAGTTATTAAGCAGAGAGGTCTAAATTAACTGTATGATTATTTTATGGCTCAGGCTTTTTGGACCCTCTAAATATTGTGACCTGTCTTGTGGGCGCGAGCTTTATTTGAATGAGACCCCACGGATGGATGTTAAAGCTGCATTATCTCACTTTATTTTGTATTCATTACTAAAATTCAATCCATATCCATGTAATGCATTGGAATATACGTCCTTATGAAGAATAAGATTTGTGCTGGCGTGTCATTTTATTTTAGATCGAGTTTTTGTGCAACAAGGAAGAGAAATTGTTTCGGGTACAGCCAAACCCCAGACTGTATGATACAGGGGACACAGACTGACAGGAAAATATTGAAAAACAGTGTTGTCCTCAAATGACATCCATGGCTGTCAATGAGTTAATCTCAATGGGACTTTCCTGGTAAAATACAAACAAACAAAAAAAATACCACAAAAAAAAAGGATTTTTTTTTTTCACAGATTCTTTGGCGTACCCCTAGAGGGCGCCGTGGTACGCGTACCCCAGTTTGAGAAACACTGTTCTATACACTTAGACATCTGGGTGAGCCATTAGAATGAAAGCTACAGAAACCACTTCAAATGGCAATGCCATTAAGCGCTTCCGAGCTCGCTCTGTAAAATGTTTTAGGAAAAATATCTTGCAAAGAGATATGATGCTTATGGACGGCCCAACGATCATCTGTTGCTCATGTTTTCATTCTTAAGCGCCTTCTAGTCAAAATTATAACTGCCTCAGTCATCTGTATTTGTTTTACTCTTACTACTGAAGAGCACATGGCCTTCTGCAGGAACACTGCGATTATTTATGATTTTAAAGTCTTGTAAGGTTGTTTCTATCTTATTTTGTCAAGCACTTCATTTTGCCGCATGTATGAACTGTACTATATAAATATGCTTGCACTGTGTCGCCTCCTTCTTACCTGTAATTTTAATGTATTGAACATGGAAACTCCACTCAGAAAGGCCCTGTTCCGACTAGGATTTGAAACCAAGACTTTCTCGTTGATAAGTGAGAGGTGACCCCCTCAGTCAATAAATATGTTCAAATATATCTTTGTGATCAAATAAAACGTTTCAGCTTCTTGTGTTGAAGATTTGTGCAGTATTACTTCAGTCAGACATTTCATATTTGGCTCAGTGTCATTTTAATGTCAGAATCTGTCATTGAAATCTGAGTCATCCTTCCCCGTCAGTATCACCACCCAGCTGCTAACTAGAAAACAGCACATGAGACATAGAGTGGGTGCATTGAAGGACTTCCAACACACAAAACTCTTTACTCTCACTGTCATAGCGTTAGTATTTGAAATCAGAATTTTTTTTATGCACCTCAGTATGATATAAAAGTAAGCATTCTTCCATAAATAGATCCTTCTCCTGCTCCTTCCAAATATGTTTTGTTGAATTTCTCCTGTCAGATGTTTTTAAATACAACTGTATGTTTACAATACATATACTGTTAGAATTAGAATTCTGTTCCAAAGTTCATGTATTGCTGTAATTCAATTTAAACGTGATAGCCAAGAGAAATAGAGACTCATTATGGACATATGCCAAGCCTTTGGTTATCATTTTTTTATGATTTTGTCTAGCAAATATTCCAATTTTATTGTATGTTTTGAGTGATTTGGAGTATTCACAAACCTTGAACAATTATGGTTCAAGGTGTAACTATTCATGGGAAATGTGGTGGTAATGTTCAGCCTAGAACTATAACACTACATACATCTCTTCATATCCATCTCTCAGACATTGTTCACAAATAAATTAGACTTTTTCTTTTTAAATACTTTGTACCGATCATGTTTCTGCTTTTCTCCAGCTATAGTGCAATTCCAGTATGTTTAAAGGGTTGCTAATGCTACCGTGCATTGGCTTCAGTTCTGGAGAAGAATAAGAGTAAGAGATCCTTTATTCGTCCCACAGTGGGGAAATTTCAGTGTTGCATTGCCAGTTACAGAACAGTAGGAAGGACGAGCACACAGCACAAGATAAATGAACACAGCAATACGCTCTATGCTACACTCTACATGAAATAACTCTCTACTAAATAATATAACAGAAAATAAAAAATAGGAAGCAATCTATTATCTCCAGAAGCTGTGCACCAATACAAATAAAAAGTCAACATTTCAAAAAGATATACGTAAGTAGTATTTACATGTGCATACCTCCAATGAAGTAATCAGCAAAAAATCTATGTGAATTTGGCTCAAAGTTTTTTTGTTTGGAATCCTCCTAGCCTGGTCGTACCACACCATAGTACAAATTACATTTCATACTAAGGTCTTTAGGTGCTCCATTGAGCTCCGTTAACAGGTGGGAGGGGTTAACTCCTTTTGCAGATTGAATCGATTGGATCTGAGTTTACCGTGACGACCCGAGTGAGTTGTTAGCATTTAGCCTAGCTTTAGCCATCTCCTTTGCCGCTAACGGGGCCCGTGGAGAGTAGCGCCACAATCTTTGCCGGCAATTACATTTGCTTAACATTCCTCTTGCCCCTGCTTCAATTTCTTGATAGAACAAGACCGGATTACTTTACTATCGCATTCTTCGCCATTGCCAAACTACAACCTGCCCGTTTGGCGTAAACTCTTGACGTCAACTACAACTGTACAACACCCGCCTCCCACGCACGCTGATTGGTTGTATGGAATTCAACCAATGTAATCCCAAACACAGGGACTAGACCCAGACGTTACATGCAGGGAAATGATGATTGAGCGGAGTGTACGATTGGCTAAGGCCAGGCTAGAATCCTCCAGTCTCTCTACAAACAAGTCCTCCAGGGTTCAAGCTTGGCGCTTTTTTCAATTATGTTCAAGACAAAAACCAATGTGGAAAATTATTTTAACTCATAAAAACCTTAAACAAATGACTTTTGACAAAACAAAAGATAACCAGAAATGTGACCAAAAACAGCAGAGGAAGCCAAAGGAACATTGTTGACTGTGTAATTGTAAGTGTGACGATTTGGTTTTAGATATTGGCAATATCTTTCAGAATATGTGGAATATGGCTTAAAAATGAACCTGCTCCAGTGTAATAGCAGTCTGGATGGGTGTGGTGGAATGGTTAAAAACAACATGAAGGAATGACAAATAGCCAAATATTTATTCAAAGTTGATTGCCAGGAATTTTGCTCCCCATTTGGAGAAAGAGAAACTTTTGTTGCTGTACCTACCCAAACAGTATTAGAATAATCAATGCTTTGGTGCATGGGGGAAAACACTTTGCACAATGGAGCGAGGTGGCCATTGTGTTGTGTTATGAATGTGCATGTGATTTGGAGCAGAAGAAGGAGGAGCACACTGACCTGCCAAATGAGGAGGGCAGGAGACAATCACAGCTCTGCTCAAGAAATCACCAGTGGAGGTCTGAACACGCGCCCATTCCGGATCCTACAAAACACACAGGGGAGTGAGTAGATTGGTAGAATGGGAATTTACAAAGTTAGACTAATCAAAATGGCCTTGAGTTTCATGCGTTTTCAGTCCATGTACAGTGAAAGTCATAGGTTTACACACCTTAGCAAAAACACCCGAGCTCTTCCACATGGTCAGGTGGATCAATAGATCATTTGAATAATGTCAAATGTTCCATAAAACTGGAGAAAGATTTTATTCATCATATCAATTAGAGAGAGATCAGGGCTGTGATGGCCACTCTGACCACTATGTTTTGGACAAACATGAAGAACATACAAGGAATCGGATTCAAAGAATTTAAGACCATGGACACCTTGGTTATATCAGTAATGCAGAGCATTACAGATATAACCGAGCATTTGTATCTCAAGGATTCGTGTATTTGTTCTGACCCACACTGCTGTTAATGTAAAAAAAAAAAAAAAGATGAGCGTTAATATCTCAAGGATGATCTGCATCACACTCTGTTGTGATGCACATTGCTACACATCATGGCTTTGCCTTTTTATGTTCTATTGGAAAATCTGGAAAATCGCTGCTGCCTCTGTCTGTTTCTTCAACACCTCCTAACACAGTGGCGCAGTGGCGCACTTGCTCTTCACAAGGTTGAATTCCATTTCCACACAGAGCCTTTCTTTGTAGGTTATCATATTCTCCTTGGTCTGTGTAGGTTTCCCCCTGGTGCTCCAGGTCGCCCTATCCCTTCCTGACCCCACTCCTGCCCCTTGTTACTGCCAGGACTCCCCTGACAAAGAGATTCTAATCTCTGTGGGACTTTCCTAATTAAATAACTAGGGCTGTCAAACGATTACATTTTTTTAGTTGATTAATCGCATAGTAATGGTGAGTTAACTCACAATTAATCGCAAGTTTAACATTCTTTTTCAAATCCACTCCAATTGAAGTTAAATGAGATTATCAAATATAATTACCAGTGTTGGGTAAGTTACTTTGAAAAAGTAATTAGTTACTAGTTACTTCTTCCAAAAAGTAATTGACTTACTAACTGAGTTACTCCACTATAAAAGTAACTAGTTACCAGTAAAAGTAACTATTGCGTGGTACCGAGCTTTAGCTGGCTGTAATTTAGGATAACTTCTAAGTAGATTAATTGTTGCAACAACCCCACCCTATTTTAGTATGATATGTTAGTTTAGGGAACTGTCCTGCAGGCAAACAGGTATAAGACAGGCCAAGATGCCATTTAATTAAATTGCATTTATTTGTATCCATTAATCAAACAAACAGATTACAAAACTTGCAATTGAAAGAGACTATTTTAAAATAATTAGTTCCCAAAAACACACACGAGAAACACTCGCGCCTGACAGTCAAGAACCAGGGAGAATACAGTACGCAGAGCGCGCCTGACAGACAAGAACCAGGGAGAATACAGTGCGCAGAGCGCGCCTGACAGACAAGAACCAGGGAGAATACAGTGCGCAGAGCGCTGAGTATGTGAACGGAGCAATCGCTTGCTGCTGTTATTATAATAGCTAGATCCATGCTTGCAGCCCGTGCAAAGCTTGCACTCACTCACAGCCGCTAACAACAACCAGAGCGGCCACGGAGGAGGCATTCTCACACGCAGCATTCTGAGTGATATTCTTATGGATAAATGGGCGGGTCATTCGGAAATGCGTTAATGCGTTTAAAAAAAAAATAACGCGTTAATAAAAAATGTAATTAACGTGAGTTAACGCGATAATTTTGACAGCCCTATAAATAACATAAATTGATGTTTGTGTACGTTTGTAAAAATGCTTGGAGTCATAGTCCATTCAGATTCCATTGGGTGTTCCTTTTGAGATGTTGGTTCAAAATATCTCACAAATGTCTCCTTTTTCCGGATGCCATTGATTTTACGCAGTGCACGAGTTCCTCCTACTGTAAAACACTGCACAGCATGATGCTCCCCCCTGCTTCAAGATTCAGATGGATCTTTTACACATTGACATTTAACATTATTAAAGAAATATAATGATCCACCAGAACTGGCACAGAAGTAAGTTTTACCAGGATTCTGCTAAGATGTGTGAATATTTCTGACTACAACCGTATGTCCACTGACGTTAGTTTTGAAATAGCATGAACAGGAGGTGACAAAAGACAATTCAGAAAATTGCTGTAGTTAATATCACAATGCTGAGGCTTGCTGCTAATAACATGGTGCCTCAACCACCAACACCGGGCAACAACTTTACTTCAGAAAAATGTCACTCATGATTGATATATAACAAGATAAATCTCAGGAATTTTCAGTAACCTTTGGAGATCATCAATGTAAGCTTTAATTGTGGGTAATACGTTTCAATGGAGTCCTTTGCAATGTCAATTGATCGACACGCTGTCTTTTGTTTGTTTGAAAACGCTAAAATTGTTGCAAACAGGCACGTTGAATCAATTTCTATCTGGTTTTGGATGGGCTCGACACACGGGGGAAAGACGAACGACAGTGATTAGTGGCGCTCAACAGCAGGTGAAAAATCAAACACACACAAAGCGATGAACCACAGGGACAGTTTCACAAAGACAGACCCCACTTCCCCGACACTAATTGGTGTGAAAAAAAAGATACTTTTTTTTGGGAGAATCAGAGCTCATTGGATTCTGCAGATATTGAGAACTTATTTAATTGGAAGAATTATATAAAAATTGATTTACAAAATGAGAATAAAATTATGATGATTTTTTTTTCTGACAAATCACTTTTAATGTGAAAAAGTTTAAATATAATTAGAAAGTGTGACGATGTTACAAAGGCAATATAGAAAAATATTTCTCTATGTGTGATTTTTAAACTACGGATTGAATTACACATTTTAGATGAACTAGTGTTAAATAGAGTAAAGAGAAGAGGACAAAAGCCTGCCCCTGTCCTCTCCTTGTCTCTCCTTGCCCAGTCCAGCGGAGTTGATGTGTGAAATGTGAGTGAGAATGTTTTTGTCAATACGTGTCAGCCCTGTCACCAAGCACCTCAAACATCAGGGCTGAAGACATGCAGAGAACTGGAGTGACTGCAAAGGTATTAGATACAGCTACTGTAAATGAGTGTGCGTGTATTGCCTTCCTTAAGTGTGTATATATATATATATATATATATATATATATATATATATATATATATATATATATATATATATATATATATATATATATATATATATGTACGTAAGCCGTAAAGAAGGAGGCCGAGGACTAGTGAGTGTGAGAGCCACTGTCCAGGACGAAACATCCAAACTCCATAACTACATCATGGAGAAGGCCAAAACGGATGACGTACTCAGTGAATGTCTCAGGCAGTGGCGAGATGAGGAGGTGCTGGAGGAGAGCCCATCATGGGAGAACAAGCCCCTACACGGCATGTACCACCGGAGCATAACAGAAGTGGCTGATCTCAAGAAGTCCTACCAATGGCTAGAAAGGGCTGGCCTACAGGACAGCACAGAGGCACTCATCATGGCTGCACAGGAACAGGCCCTGAGCACCAGAGCGATAGAGGCCCAGATATACCACACCAGACAAGACCCAAGGTGTCGGTTGTGCAAAGAGGCACCTGAGACGATCCAACACATAACTGCAGGGTGCAAGATGCTGGCAGGGAAGGCCTACATGGAACGCCATAACCAAGTGGCTGGCATAGTGTACAGAAACATCTGTGGAGAGTATGGGCTGGAAACCCCAAGGTCTAAGTGGGAAACTCCTCCAAAGGTGGTGGAGAATGAGCGTGCGAAGATCCTGTGGGACTTCCAGATACAGACCGACCGAATGGTAATGGCAAACCAACCTGACATCGCGGTGGTAGACAAAGGGCAGAGGACAGCCGTGGTGGTGGACGTGGCAATTCCAAGCGATGGTAACATCCGGAAAAAAGAACATGAAAAGCTTGAGAAATACCAAGGTCTCAGAGAGGAGCTGGAGAGGGCCTGGAGGGTAAAGGTGACAGTAGTGCCCGTGGTGATCGGTGCACTCGGGGCAGTGACCCCGAAGCTAGATGAGTGGTTACAGCGGATCCCTGGAACAACCTCGGACATCTCGGTCCAGAAATGTGCAGTGCTAGGAACAGCAAAGATACTGCGCAGAACCCTCAAGCTCCCTGGCCTCTGGTAGAGGACCCGAGCTTAGAGAGGGATAACCGCCCGCGGAGGGCCAAAGGTGAGTGGACAATTTTTTTTTTTATATATATATATATATATATATATACATACACACACCTTTCGCCCTCCGCGGGCGGTTATCCCTCTCTAAGCCCGGGTGCTCTACCAGAGGCCCTTGGTATTTCTCAAGCTTTTCGTGTTCTTTTTTCCTGATGTTGCCATCGCTTGGAATTGCCACGTCCACCACCACGGCTTTCTTCTGCCCTTTGTCTACCACCACAATGTCAGGTTGGTTTTCCATTAATATATATATATATATATATATATATATATATATATATATATATATATATATATATATTTATTTATACGGCTCGTCACAGCAGCAGGAGAACGATCCATTGATTTGAATGTAATTTCAAAACGTTCTACCGGTCATTATTTTCTATAACGGACCTCTCAAAACAATAATGACCGCTGCCCATGGCAACGCACTCTCTGCTTGTCTTTCAAATGCGTGGATAACTCCGCAAGTAGTTCCGGCCACTCCGGAGCTAGCCACGCTCAACCAACACACTTAAATGTTAATCGGAGAATACTTATACATATACATTCTTCACACACGTGCACGGAAATTTTCAGAATTTTCTGGTCTTGTCTTCATGACAAAAATACTATTTCTCTGCGTCAACAAGCGATCGTGAAAAACCCGGAAGTAGTTCCGGCCGCTCAATAAACGCAAATGCCAATCAATCAACGCAATGAAATGTTAATCGGAGAGTACATTATACATATAAATTCTTAATACAAGTGCACGGAAGTTTTCCGAATTTTCCGTTTACGTTTTCATGACAAAAACATTGATGTAATGCGAGAAAAGGCGATCCCGAAAAACCCGGAAGTAGATACCGGCACATTTTAAGAGACCGGCACATTTTCGGACACATTTGCAGAGGCTCGAATTATGGATTTAGGTTAGGTTTATGTTTGGGTCACTCACCGCTGATGTTCAGAATTCTTTGTTCAGTTTTCATGCAGTTCCAGAGAGTTCTAGTTTGGAAGTTGCCAGCCTAACTGTTGCTAGCATAGCCACGGGAAAGCCTTTGGGAACTATTTTATGTTCTGTCATTAAATAAACCTTTCGGCATTCCTAAAAGTGGACTGAAGTTTATGTTGTGTGTTCTGTTGGGATAAAGCCGTATAATAAGCGGCATAACATATATAACGCAGGTCATTATCGGAAAATAAGTACCTTCAGGGCGGAAGCAGACCCCTTCGCTGCGCGTCGGGGTCCGCTTCGCCTTGTCGGTAATTATTTTCCGATAATGACCTGCGTAATATACGTTATCCCTTACATATATATTAGGGCTGTCAAAATTATCGCGTTAATTCACGTTAATTACCGTTTTCATTAACGCGTAAAAAAATAATTAACGCATTACAGTAACTGCCATTGACGTGTTAACACGCAGCATTGCTCTATGAATGGTTTGAAAACAGCTAGATGCACAAGTGCCTCTTTTTTCTCAGCTTTCTGGTGATTTCAATAAAACTTACCTCTACTCGACTGGGGATTACAGGGGAACGAAACAAGCTAGAAACAAAATTATTTTTGCTGATGAAAGTAGACCGTCTATTCTTTCAGAATCTGGTTTTGGATTTCAGATAGTCATAGTACACAATATTCTGTGGGTACCTGTTCTGAAATAGGCTGGCAGTCAATCGCATGTCCGAATGACCCGCCCATTTATAATAATATCACTCACAATGCCACGGACACGTTCGTGTGTGATAATGACAGCGGTAACGTGGTCATATAATACACGCATATATATACACGCACAGGGGCCATTCTCTGATGTTCTCTGATGATGGAGGAGAGGAGGAGACACGCTGAAATGCAACCAAACTCGCAAAATTAAAGCTGGGGTACCTACATTTTTCCTTTCATTAACAGCTCTTGTTGGTTGTACCCAAAAGTAGAAGGTTGTGAGCAAGTGAAACAGATTGAAGTACATTTGGTATGAATAATAATGTGTCATTACATTTGAAAATCTCATTTAACTTCAATTGGAGTGGATTTGAAATAGAACGTTAAAAATGCGATTAATCGTGAGTTAACTCATCATTACTATGTGATTAATCAACTAAAAAAAATGTATCGTTTGACAGCCCTAATATATATATATAAAATAGACATACACATATATATAATATACTGTACATATACTAAATGCCTCTTGATTTGATTTGAATCTAATCCCTTCCAAAAATAAATTATTTGGTTTGTAAATAATGCACTGCATACTTTTTGTTATTGCTTTTAAAAATTAAAACACTTTCTCATATGTGTACAGTGACCATTGAGCATTTATGAGGGTGTTTGCCATTCAGAATATCACTTTTGGTTCATGATGCAGATGTCATTCATGATCAAGTAATGACCGTGATGTCTTTATTCACATTTCATTAACATGAAAGAAAGACATACTTAAATGCTTAAGTACAGGTACGTGTCTATAGACTTTACAGAAACAGCTGTGGCCTTTTTGTGCTTGCGTTAATTGCGCAATAAAAAATTGACACCGTTAAAGGGTTTGCGGTGTTACTAACACGTTTAACTGACAGGACTAAAATATGTATACAGTATTTTTTGTATATAAATATCCATCCATCCATCCATTTTCTTCCCCTTAATCCATTTCTGGGTCAGGGGGGTGGCAGTCAGAGCTGCACCCAGTTCACAGAGCACCAGCCCCTCACTGATCCTCCTGCAGGTGGTGAGTCCACAGGAGCTGAGATCTTTCAGCGGGGGCTTCAGGCAAAGTGGGGTTAAGTGTCTCGCCCAAGGACACAACGACAGCAGACATCAGTGGGAGTCGTATATAAATATATACAATATATATACTCCCTTGACTACACTGACAAAGATAATATAATATATATATATATATATAGTATCTTGCAGAGATGCACACAAGTCTCTGACCCGCAAGTCCAAGTCAAGTCCAAGTCCATGCCCTGGAGTCCAAGTCAAGTCCAAGTCCCCGGACCCGCAAGTCCAAGTATAATTTCCTACGCATTAAAATTATGGCCAATATCATTTAAAATGGACTAAATTATATGAATTAATTGTACTGCACTGCTACAAAAAACGTTTATTTATACGGTATGCAGAAGCACGTACTGTAGAGGATGTGTGCAGTTTCAACAATTAAAATAAAGTGCAATAGTCTACGTTACAGAGTAACAAACATGTGACTACAGTGAGGGCACAGACCAAAACTAATGTTTGTTACAGGATGACAATGGGACATTTCTAAAAAGTCTGAAATACATAATGTCAGCCAATGGCTGTCATTAAATATGTTTGTTCACAGCATTTTACTGTTGGCACAACCAACATGAGCTGTTAATGCGAGGGAAAATTTAAGTACCCCAGCTTTAATTTTACGAGTTTAGGAGGAGACACGGGGAGACATGGAAACGTCAGGAGGCTCTATCATCCAACTCTGTTTATGGCAGAGGTGTATAAAGACACGCACATTTATGGCAGAGGTGTATAAAGACAATAACAAGCAGAGAATGGTTCTATGTGTGCGTGTATGTTCCTGTGCGCGTGTATGGTCCTATGTGCGCGTGCATGGTCCTGGAAACATTATGACCACAGGCTGCGCGCTGCCGTTGACAGAGCGGCTCACAGCTCAGACACAACTGATGCACAAAGGCCTGTTTCACACCGCACACGAATTCGTGAACGAATTCGTCTTCGAAACCCGCTCGAGTGCATTCGCAAGCTGCGCTTCAAGTCGCGTCCTGTTGTGCAAATGAGAAAGCTCTTCTGTGTACAGACCGGCGCTGAGGCGGCGCGCAGGGAATCGGCGCGCGCCGCTGCCGCCTCCGCTCCTGAAACCAAAAATGGAACTCGAGCGCATTTTTTCCGCGTGTAGGCTGCGCAGCGAAGCGGCTTCAGCACGAAAATATTCAAAAAATAACTTTTATAAAGCAATTTCACGTTTATCTAATCTCATTATTGTAATGCATAAGTACATTACACAATTTTCCATGTCATACTTTTTTTTTATGCATAAAATATAATTGTAACATATATATATATATATATATATATATATATATATATATATATATATATATATATATATATATATATATATATATATATATATATATATATATATATATATATATATATATATATATATATATATTATAATTATAACCTAACCTTAACCCCCATGGAGATCCAGGCCGCCCCCACACCTAACCTTAACCCACATGGAGATCCAGGCCTTCCCCACACCTAACCTTAACCCACATGGAGATCCAGGCCTTCCCCACACCTGACCTTAACCCCCATGGAGATCCGGGCCTTCCCCACACCTTATAATTAACTATGATAATGAAACGACAATCAAAATAGGCTATAAGATACATTATAAGGAAATGTTAGCAATTTATTTAAGGTCTACATGTGCTATTTTGATTTCTGACCTGTTATTTCAGACAACATATGTAAATATACAACATGTTTATTAGTTTGGAGTACAATACTACTCCTTTTGTGCGTGCTACTCGTCTAGGCGCTTCGCCCACGCTCGGCGTCAGTCTGAATACATGCGCTCGCCGCGAGGTAGTTCGGCTGGAAAGGGCGCTCGGCTCTGCGCTCGGCGTGCGGTGTGAAACAGGCCTAATGAGCCAACGCGTGCATTTCCGCACAGTCAAGACCCGCGATCGCGGCCAAAAAGCACAGCCGAGGAGCGTGCACAGCCAAAGAGAGCGCACCGCCATAGAGCGTGCGCTCTATGTGCACAGCCAGCGCGCACAGCCAGCGCGCACAGGAGAGCGCGCACAGCCAAAGAGGGCACTACCTTACCAGCCAGTGAAATGGTTGGATCTGGAGCGTCAGGACTCCGAAAACAACGAGTCCGAGTCAAGTCCGAGTCTTTAGGGGACGAGTCCGAGTCGAGTCGCAAGTCTCTAAAAATAGCGACTTAAGTCGGACTCGAGTCCGAGTCCGACTCGCGAGTACCGCATCTCTGGTATCTTGTGTCAGTATGCTATGGATCAAGAGTCAGTGGAGCGACCTGAGCTCCACTCTGCCTCCCCCCATCAGACTGCTCCTCTCTGTTCATTTCCTGGTCCCTCCCCTGGTGACATGTTCAGGACTTTACCTGCCATATGGCCTTGACAGCACAGCCCAGACGGACGTTTCTCCAGTCCACGCGCTCGGCCAGACATTCACTCAGCTGCTGCGTGCCCCCCTGTGGAAGTACAAGATTACACTGTAGAATCATGTCTGTCTGGAGGGTGTGTGCTTTACATGCGTTAGGGTTATTACTGTTGTGTTTTTAAGATTTGAACAAGAAGATTTTGTGACTCAACACTTTCTGTGAAAAGTGAAAATGGAAAACCTACAAATCACAAGGAGATGGCCCAATGACATCGTTCACTCACTCGATGAATGGTTTACTGTTGCTGATACCATTTCTCTAATGGAGAAGCTAACACACTCTGTGAGACTTGAACTGGATACATTTCAAAGACTTTGAGAATCCTGGAAACTGTTTGTGGCTAAATGCCAGATGTAACCACTGTATTATCCCTCCATTCATTTACTTACGAGTTATCCGTTGCTGAGTCGCAGTGGGCAGTCTGAGCAGAGGCTTCCTCATACAGTTTGTCACTAAATACATTCCAACGTTGTATAAATGTTCATGGAAAAAAATGTATTAAAATATCCTACATGTATTTTAGTGTTGTATAGCAGTATAAAAAAATCAGACTGCTGATTTTACTCTGGAATATTGGTAAAAAAAAAAAAAAAAAGGCCAGCCATACTGGTATGTAATATCAAACACATCAACATATTGGTATTTTCATTGGGAGGACAGTCTGTTTGGCTATAGGTTGTCCACTGAGCACACAATATACAGCAAGCAATTAGAATTTAAAGTAATTTAGTATTTGACCCCAGGAAGAGGATACACTGTGTTGTTGAAGCTGATGGAGATCCAACAAATACTGTAAATAAATGCGCAAACCAAAAAACAACATAATAGCTTACTTTAAGGCATGAGTGCTCCACTTCACTGAAACCACAGACAGGACATTTCAGCGTTACAACAGACAGAACAGAATTGTGGCAAATGCAATAGGGGTACTTAAACTAAAGCACAATATTTGTACCTCTGCTACAGGAAGAGGAAGAGCTCTCATTCAGAACATTCAAGGCCCACTGGAAACATTTATTTATCCGTGCACATCACCCTCTTAAGATTTTTACTCAGTTCAGTTGGACAACAATAAATCTTTCTTTTTCATTCAATTACAAAATTCTTAGTTTTTATAGAAGCCTTCACGTGGCATGTTCTTTCACCTCATACACTGTGGAAGAAAACTAAAACTATAGCCCTGGGGCACACTCAATTATAATAGCATAAAAGTTTATTTTGTCATCGTCAGGTACACAACAATAAGATACGGTTAAGTATCTCCACGGGCAGACATCACACTGTCAGAAAAAATAGTGACTACAGTGAGTCGATACACCTCCTATAGAGCAGGAGGGACTAATATGGGACTAAATATGGTTATTTAAGGGACTAAATGTGGGGTTAAATATGGGACTAATGGCTTTTGTAGCTTGCGGGTTGAAACTTTTAAATCTAGTGATGAGTGTTTATACCTATCTTATTAATTTTCCAGAAGGAAGAGCAGAACCAAGGCAGCCCTTGTCCCCGACCACCACCGATTAATTACGCACACTCGAGGGCTGGGCGATATGGAGCAAAAAATATCTCTTAATGTACTTTTCTGTGTAAAATAAATGCAACATATGATCACCTTCTTTTTCATTGAAATAATAAAACAACTAAACTCTTATTGCCACTGTTTCTTTGATTTCCACTTTTTAATTGCCACTTTTATTGTACATAATATATCCTGCATTAAACATGTTTGCACATTTCTTTCTTTTGCACAATCTTAAGTGATTCTATCCATGCCAGATGTACATTTCTCCTGTGTGAGATCAATAAAGTCTATCTTATCTTATCTTATCTCTCAATGCAGGCAGTGCATGTAGGAACCAAGTGCTTCGGTAACATTTAATCCCTGAATACATTCATAGTAAGCAAACTTTTCCAAGCAAGCCGCTCGCTTCGCAGTGTTCAGTCGCGGGAGTTCTTATATTGCAAAGTAATGCCAACTTAAAGTTTAATAATAGATGAGTTTAAAAACATCTCGACTGTATCTCGATTGTAAATAGTGAGATATCGGCCACCCCTAACGCACACCAGAAGTCATACCAGGCAATGTAGATGAAGTGTCTTGCCCAAGGACATTTCAGTACTTTATATCCACTGTGGTGTCTCATCATGCTATACAATACAATACAATACAATTTATTCTTGTATAGCCCTAGGTCACAACAGAAGTCATCTCAGAGGACTTAACAAAACCATTGAAATCACCAACACAGGTCAGAGAATCAACAGTTAAAACACATGAAGAATATAAAGCACACACAGAAGAAAATGTCCATACATGTTGTAGAATGCTAAAGTGTCCTGATCATCACCAATCCTTTCTGTTGGACACTAACTGTCCAACAAGACCCTCCTGCATCGACAAGGAAAAACTCTTAAAAAACCCAGTGGGAAAAAGTGAGAAACCTTGGAGGAGAACTAGGGAAACCCACAGGGAGGGAGACCCATATGAGAAAGGGATCCGCTCCTCCGGACGGACAGGCTAATGATCTAGGACCTAAGCTAGCTACAGAACGTGGACCAGTGGACGCTGAACGTGGACAGGTCCGGTGCAGGACTGAAGCACTCCCAGGCGGGTCGGGCGGGGCAGTCCGCAGGTGTAGATGGAAGAGGCCAGGCTCAGAGATCCCGTCATCGTACCATGAAACAGACAATGGGACAACGGGTGAATAGCAATGAACAAACTACAGTCAGAATCCTAAAAATGCTAAACAGATAAAGTAGGAAGGAGGAGAGGATAGTGCTCAAGTTACCATACTTCTCCCAGCAAACTGACTCCCTATGCAGCTTGACTAACACTCTGAGGAGTTTAACCTTCTCCGAGTCTTACCTTCCTAGCCATATGCTAAACTATAGAGGACTGTTTTAAACCTAGCCTTGAATAAAGAATAACATACAGCCTAATATATAACATAATATACAACATAACACAATACATTATTGAATAATATATAACATAATATATAACATAATACAGCATATATATATAATATATACACTACATATTATATATTACCTAATTATATGCTAAATTAAAGTAAAGTGCTTTAAGCCTGGCCTTGAATGTGGAGACCGTATCTGCTTCCTTAACATAAATGGGAAGCTGATTCCACAGTAAAGGAGCTTGGTAGCTAAATGCTCTGCCACCAACAGTGACCTTTGAGACCTTAGGGACCACCAGACGTCTGGCGTTTTGTGAGCGCAACGCTCGACCTGGTTGATACGACACTAACGTGTCTTGGAGATAAGAAGGAGCCAAGCCATTTATGGCTTTATATGTTAAGAGTAGGATTTTAAACTTTATTCTGTACTCCACAGGGAGCCAGTGGAGTGATTTTAACACCGGAGTTATGTGCTCCCTCCTTTTGGTACCTGTTAAGATCCTAGCTGCTGTATTCTGAACGAGCTGGAAGCTCTTCAAAGAGGCTTTAGGGCACGCTGCCAGTAAAGCGTTACAGTAGTCGAGCCTTGAGGTGACAAACGCGTGAATGAGTTTTTCCGCGTCACTTTTAGGAAGGAAATTCCTAATTTTAGCGATGTTCCGTAAGTGGAAGTACGCCGTTTTAGTTGCTTGGCTTATATAAGCCTTGAAGGAGAGTTCTTGGTCAAAAATGACTCCAAGATTCCTCACAGTGTTACTGGGTATTATACTGACATTATCGAGAGTAACCATCTGGTTAGTGAGGGAGTCACGCAGGCGCTTCGGACCGAGTAGGATCACTTCTGTCTTCTCCGGGTTGAGAAGTAGGAAGTTAAGAGTCATCCACATTTTAAGGTCCTTTATGCAGGCACTGAGCTTTTCTAGCTGATCTGTCTGATTAGGCTTCATCGACAGATAAAGCTGTGTGTCATCTGCATAGCAGTGGAAATTAATTCCATGCTTTTTAATAATGTTTCCCAGTGGCAGCATGTAGAGAGTAAAAAGAATCGGTCCGAGTACCGAACCCTGCGGCACACCGAATTCCACTCCAGAATAAGGCGACGAGTCCTGATTCACATTGACGAAGTGATATCGATCTGATAAATAGGATTTAAACCAGCCAAGGGCTGTTCCTCTAAGACCTATATCACATTCTAGCCTCTGCAGTAGAATGCTGTGGTCTATTGTGTCAAATGCAGCACTAAGGTCCAGTAGGACCAGCACTGACACTTGTCCATTATCAGCAGCTAGTAGTAAGTCATTTGTGACTTTGACTAGTGCCGTTTCAGTGCTATGATGAGCTCTGAATCCTGATTGAAAGACTTCAAACATATCATTTTCCTGCAGGTGGCAGCGGAGCTGCTCAGCTATAAGTTTTTCCAGGATTTTAGATATAAAAGTGAGGTTTGAGATCGGTCTGTAGTTTGTAAGTATTTCTGGGTCCAGGTTTGTTTTCTTCAGAAGGGGTTTGATTACCGCGGTTTTAAAAGCTTGTGGGACATAGCCACATTGTATGGATGCGTTTATTATATTTACGATAGGCTCAATTATCAAAGGAAGTATGTCTTTGAAGAGCCATGTCGGGACTGCGTCTAACATGCAAGTTGAGGCTTTTGAGGATGTGACCACAGAGATCACCTCTGCTTGGCTCACAGCCATGAATTTATTAAGGCCCACTGAAGAGTCTAAGTGGGAAGTCACGTATGCCGCTTCAACCTGTCCACCACTAACAGCAGGAGCAACCTCCTCCAGCTTGTCACGGATGGATGTAATTTTATTATTAAAGAAGTGGAGAAAGTCGACACTGCTCAGTGAGCTTGGAATTTTAGGCTCGATTGCGCTATGGCAGTTTGTGAGTTTAGCGACGGTGCCAAACAAAAATCTACTGTTGTTTTTATTCGCTTCTATTAAAGTTGAATAGTATTGAGTTCGAGCCCCGCGAAGGGCCTTCTTGTAATTTCGGAGACCTGCTTTCCACTCCCTGTGGACAGGCTCCGAGTGGGAGTGGCGATATAGCCTCTCCAATTTTCTGACGTCCTGTTTTAAAGTGTGGAGTTGAACACTGTACCAGGGCGACGATGATCTAATCCTAATGGTTTTCTGTTTTAAAGGAGCTGCTGCATTTAATGCAGATTTTAAAGACTCCATAGTGTTGTCCACCGTTTGGTCAATGACTGAGGGACTGCAGCTGCTGTGAACAGGTTCACCTGCAGCAGTATTCAACATAGGCTGTATTAGTTCTTTGAACCTTGTGATAGATTTATCATTTAAGGTTCTTTTCATTATGGTTTTATCTTGCGGGACAGGAAAGTCCTCCAAAGCGAGATCAAACGTGATCAAGAAATGGTCAGACAGCAACGAGCTTTGACGCTGGATGTCAACATTGGAGACATCACAGCCGTAGGTCAGGACAAGGTCCAAGGTGTGGTTATGAATGTGAGTAGGTTCCTCGACATTCTGAGTAAAACCAACACCATCTAGTACGGCGCTGAAAGCTTTGTTTAAGCTGTCAGTGCTGTCGTCCACATGTATATTGAAGTCTCCAGCTATAACTATGTTTTCCCATTCCAAAACTAGGTTTGAAATGAAGTCAGAGAATTCTGTTAGGAACTCGCTGTAAGGACCAGGAGGTCGGTATAAAACTATAAATAGTACTGCTTTTTTTTTTCTCCACCCAGGACAGGTGATTGAAAGTGTTAAGTTTTCAAACGAGTGAAAAGCGTTGTTGGTTTTGGGACTAAGAACCAAGTTGGTGTGTGATATAATCGCAACACCACCGCCGCGACCTGTAGCTCTGGCTTTCTGGTAGTTAACATGCGTCGGAGGAGTGCACTCATTCAATCTAACGTAGTCGTCCTGTTGGAGCCAAGTCTCCGAGAGCGCAAACAGATCCAAGCCCTTGTCTATAATAAGTTCGTTTATGAGAAGCGATTTAGACGAGATTGATCTGACGTTCATTAAACCACATTTAACAACCCTACCGCTAGAACTATTTCTGTCTGTCTGAACTTTTATTAAGTTACTGTGTCTGACACCTAGGTCAGATTTCCTCGCATATAGTGCTTTAGACTTCAAGCGGGGAACACACACAGTTTCAATATGACTAGGTTCTGAGGCTAGTAACTGAGCACACACAGGCACACACACACATGCACACACAGTTTCAATCTGACTAGCCTCTGAGGCTAGTAACTGAACAGATGGGGGCTCAGAGGTTGTGGCAGAGCAGCTCTGCACCCGGGCCTCAGTTCTGCATCGTCATTTGAGCCGAGCAGAACAGTTTAGAGCCAGGGCCAAATTCTTAGCCAAAAGGGATGTACCCGCCAACGTTGGGTGGATATCATCCGAGCGGATGAGACCGGGCTTTCCCCAAAAGGCACTCCAATTGTCAACATGAACAACACCACTTCGAGGGCACCAGCCAGACAGCCAGCGGTTGAAAGCCGAGTGTCTGCTGAATGCTTCTGCACTGCTAGTGCTAGGTAGGGGCCCAGAGAAGATGACAGTGTCGGCCATTGTGCTAGCCAGCTTGCACACGGCGGCGACTTGCAGCTTCAACACCTCGGACTGTTTCCGCCGAACGTCATTACCACCCGCGTGAATAACAATTCGACGGAAACGCTGCTTGTGGGTCATCATGAGCCTCAGATTCCCTTCAATATCACCAAGCCTGGCCCCAGGGAAGCACCGAACAGTGGCTCCTGGGATCTTAACACCTCTAACAATAGAGGAGCCAATTACCAGCGCATCAGCGACTCCATCGGCTCTCTCAGCAGCTCTCTCAGCGGCTCTCTCAGTGGGGCCTTCTTCCCCGCCCGGCCGCGCGGGGGCGCAGCCGGACAGAGCGTCCCAGCGATTGTAAATGCTAACAGGAGGAGGCCCAATGGGGAAACTACCAACAACACGTCGCCCTCTCCGAACAGTCACAAAGCCATCACTATCCTGGTCTTGTCCCAGCTGCGGAGGACGGGCTGGGAGGCTAGGCTCGCTAGTTCTCCTCTGCCTTTCCCTAAAGCTGCGCTCCGCTGTCCCTGAGGATACGGCCTGGCTGTAGCTAATGCTAGCGCTAGCTCGAGACTCCAGTGCTCGGAGACGCAGCTCTAACTCACTGACCCTGGATTCCAGAGCTACGACTACACTACACTTCACACATCTATCACTACCCTCAGAGAAGGATCCAGGGTTTAGACTCGCCATATGGCAACTCGAGCAGTAAAGGATTGAGGGAGAGACAGCAGCCGCCATAGTAGCGAGTTAGCGGCTAGGCTAGGCTAAGCTAGGCTAGGCTAAGCTAGTACGGATCCGGGCCCGCACAACAGACTCCGAGACCAGACAAACAACCGCTACCTAAACCTCAGCTACAGTACAGCTGACTCGGAGTGCTTACACAGTTAGCTTGGTGTACAATACGTGGATTTGTAATGTGTTTGTTAGTGCAAACAGAGAGCAGAGTGATAGCAGTCGAGAAACACGCTCACCGGATACAGGAAGTCACCATTATCCACAGCTACTAACCCCAGCCTCCTTAGCTTCTAAGATCGGACAAATCACGCATTCACATGCAGGTGGAATGTGAAAGACATTACCTGAAAGACATTACCTGAAAGACAACGGAAATTATTTATACTCAAAGTTCCCAATACCAAACCAGCAAAAAGAGCATTAACCAGTTTCTATAGAGATAAAACATCTGGACTGCTTTCTGACTTGAAATTGTCGATATACTTTCTTGTGCCGTTTAAGAATATCCAGACCTTATTAAAATGCAAAGCAGAACTAACAGACGCACCTGAAGCATTTTTGTATGGATTACATGCATGTTCAAGAAAAAATGTTTCATGTTTTGAAGTGTGGAGGTGCAGAGGGGAAGGTGCTCTCTACCTGGACCCTAAACTCCTGAGCTGCCCCTGGGGTGCTCTCCAACAGGGCCTCCAGTCCTCCAGCTGCTGCAGAGTACATGAGGAGGTAGAGCAGGGACATCTGCGCTGGCTCCGTCCCAAAAACTGCGCGCGTGCCTGTGTCCACCACATCCTTCAGCTCTGCACAAGACACCACACATGTATCAGCCAGGGAAAAAATGCACCTATCACTCCCTGATTGGATAAAACAGTTGATTGCCAGTTGAGCTCTCTCTCCATTTGGTTTAGCTACTCTGCAAATCGTATGGCAAAAAAGTGGAAGCCGCCTCACTCACTGGTTCGCTCTCCACGGCACAGAACGTAGAAAGGAGTGGACGAACTTAAACCCTTTGGCTTTTCTCAGTAGAAGACATTTAGAGCTTTTCTCATTGCAACTACTTAGCCAACAAAGAGCCAATCAGGAGTGAGGCTTGTCTGTTCCTGCTCTTGCTAATTGCTACCCGAAGCTTAATTCAGGGACAAAAGACACCTGATTGGTCAGTGGTTATGGGTCATATCTAGAATTACAAAAAAACAAGCTAAAGTGGGGTGTAAAACCACAGATTTTAAGCCCAATATGGTGACACCTTAATCAAATAGACTATGTCTTACTCTAAACTTTGTCCGGAGGTAGTTTAGGGTTTGATCAAAGAATTGTCAATAATGGGCTCTATGCACGCACCACTTCCGCGTTTTAGCTACAACTCCACTTCACTTCCTGTGCGCGGGAAACGGCTTGAGTTTCACTGGAGTTCAGCAGAGGTTTACACGACTTTCCCAAATAATGCTCAAACGGGAATTAAACTGTGAGGATACTGGGCATTTTTAACCCTTTGATTGTGCTGTCATTGTGTTTTTATAAAGTTTACAAATCTCTCTGAGTGGCCACAGCTCTACCTCAGAGAGAAAGCACAACGACACTTTTGGGTCAGTCTCACAGCTGAATGTATCAATCTAATTACTAAAAAACGTCACTAAAAGCCACAGGATAGCATAGGCTGGAAGTGAACGAGCTGATCTTTGTTAACAGGAAATGACGTCATGCCTCCCCGTGCATATAGCCCATAAACAAAAGTATTATAGTTTGTTAGTAAGTAAGTAATGTTTATATATATAGCGCATTTTACAGACCAAGGTCACCCAAAGCACTTTACAATGTTCAGAGTTCAAATATTGTTCCAATCATTCCACACACGGTGATGACGGAATCTCCGAACACTCTGGACCATCAGCCCCCAATCAACACCATCCATTCACTCTCTCATTTACATTCATACCTATTGTTGAGTGGACTGACCGAGTGCTGACGCCACCATTATACAGTATAGTGTTAGCCGAATGCGAAAGAAGCCGATAAACAAAAGATAGCTGGAGCCATTTTCCTCTATGGGTCTTTGTGAAGATGGGTGAAATATGCGCAGTAGCAGGGCAGATGCAAATATGTTGCTAAAGTGGTTACTAAGGCAAGCTGGAGTATCCCCCATGAATCATCTGAATGTTCAATCATCATGGCGCATACCTGGATTTACAAAGACAATATCACAAAAAAATACCAGGATCATAGAGAGCGCTACACCACAGATTATTAAACCCAACTTGGTGAGAATTACTGACTTAAAGGAGTTTACTTTTCCAAGTTATTGAATAGGTGCCAGAGTGGGAAGGAGCAAAACTTCTCCAATGAGCCCTTCCCTATCGGACTTCATTAAGCTTAGAGTGTTAGCATTGTCCATCTAAGTACAGTCTATAGCTAATATAGACTAATATAGAAATATAGCTAATGCAATGTGATAAAAGATAAGTGGATAGGGAAAATATTGATGCAAGGACAGGCGCAGAGGAGCGAGAAAGAAGTATGAACTGATCAATCCATGCTGGGATGAGATGCACTCTACTGGAGCAAAACTTCACCCATGAGCACTTCCCTATTCAACTTAATTCAGCCCCATCTTTCACTGTCTCTGGCAATGACAATGGCTACAGTGACAGATTGTGGATACTTGATGAAGTACTTTGTAGGTTATTGCCGGTGAAATCAGCCGGGTCTCACCTTGTGTCCACGCGTTCTGCCGGATCCAGGAGTGAAAGGTCATTCCGTCCAAATCCACAGCGTTGGGAGTGAGGGACGGGTCCTGGATGTTCACTGTGGCAGATAAGCGGTTTGTCTGTGAATAACAGGGAAAAAATTTAACTCTTTTACTGACTGAAATTTTTTTTGAAAAGTGCTAAAGAAATTAAGATTTATTAGTATTTGTAAGCGCTTTTCACAGACCAGAGTAATAAAGCGCTATACAGTTGTTGAGGGCATTTGTCTCTCACTCCAAACAGAGATTGGAGCGGCGTCGCCATACCAGATCTATTGTACATTTTTGTAATGGTAGGGGAAACCGTAGCACTTGGAGGAAACCAGAGCACCCGGAAGAAAACCTACACAAACTCGGGGAGAATATGTAAACTCCACTCAGAAAGACCTTGTTCCGACCGGGTTTCGAACCCAGGACATTCTTGCTGAGAAGCGTGAGTGCTATCCTCTTGGCTGACATTATTATTATGTAACACTGACAACAAGAATTTGACAATGTCGTAGCTATTTTCCCTCGTCATTTACACACATTTACACATAAGTGACTATTCTTTACTCTCCAACACTCAATGTGCCACTGCTACCCCTTGAAATACTGCCCTGTTCAAATGCACTAAATATATAACAACGCTGTGACTGTCCGAGATTATCATGTCTTCTTGAAAGGATTCCACAACAGTTTTTGCGCATGTGAAGTTTCTGTCAAGATGTTTCTTACTTTCCGAGATAGAAGTATCTAATTGTAGCCACTCTAAATAATCAACCCAGAAAACATGAAACAAATTATGTGTTGTTGCATCTGTGTTATTGTGTTCTCACTCTGTAGGTCGATATGCTCAGTGTTCTTTAACTAATTGTGTGTTTTGACATTTTGTATCCCTGAGATTATACAGTATTTTTTCTCTCTTTACATATTTCATGGCAAACAATGAAAATATTTCTGCAGTTGTTGGTAAGGTCTCACAAGATTTTTAGGCCTGGAAACTTTAGTTTTAAGAATGAATTTGATAAAACTTGAAATGTAGCAGCTGCACCATGACTTTGAGATTGAATATAACCTGGTGTATTAGTCAGCCTTTACGTATGTGATACTGTACGTGATGACACCTTTTCGAAATAGTGTATAATTCTACACATTGGGAGGCCACTTAGAAGGAGGTCTGCTTCTCTGTTCGATCAGTGCTGTCCTTGTCTGAGCTATTTGGGCAGGCGGCTGTGTCTTGGTAGGATTGAAGTTGTCCATTCATGAGAAATCTTTGCTTGACTGAACAATATTTTAAATGTATCTCCAACTTCATCCCAGACCTAATTATACTTGCATTAGATTACACTCAGATGGACTCTATACTTAAGTGTTAAATTAAAGTTTGACCATTCATCTTTCATCAGGAGACTTCTAAAGGCAGGTACTTTTGCCACTGTATATTCAACTTTTCAACACTTTTTTTCATAATAAAATAAATAACCTTGAGCCACAGTGGGCAGCAAAATAAATTAGTTTCTTCATAGGCAAAAAATATTTTCTCTGATACAGTCAAGAATTTTAATTTAATTTTAGTCAGAATGCATTCAAACTAGCGTATGTCTCTTGGTCATATAACCCAAATCAAACTGAGTCACAACTATATCCCTGAACTTTAAACCTGACTCAAAAAATCAGCACAAATCTATTGAAAATCCCAGAGCTTGTAGGAAAACGCTCCTGACCCTGTAGATGAAGAGGCTGAGGTCCAGAAGCACCAGGGGGGACATGGCGGGGAGGCTGGAGGTGTAGCTAAGCACACGGGACCCTGCTCCACCCGTGTGATGCACTTTCTTCCCAGTGTTGAACTGTGGATACGTCTTCAGGCCCAGCTCCTCGATCAGCGCCATGATGTGGGTCTGTGTGCTGAAAGAGAGACTTTTAGAAGCGGCAGAAAAACATTGCATTGAATTATAATTGGCTTTAAATTAAATTACTACAACACTCTCCATCAGGTAAATATTAATCTTGCAAGATGGTTAACAGTCTTTTATGGCATAGGATCTATTTTTTAAGATCCGACTACAGGAAACAGACTCTTGTAGCGTAGCCTAAGCTCCTATAACACGTTTGCAATAGACCACCTGTTATCATGGTGATTAAATATGCGAAAAGGGAAAGGACGCCGTTGAATACCTCTGCACTGCACAGTATGAAACCTTGAGGAGGGCCTTGTACAGACACACCGTTGTCCTCATCCTTTAAACTCATCACAGCACCACAGTCATGCCCTAACCCTCGCAGTCTGTGTGAGACACGGATCATAGTTTGGTTATGATTTATGTGAAGATAGATGAAAGTGTTGGCTAACGCTAAGATGCAGAGGGCCTCAAAATGTTTGAAAGATATAGCTTCAGGGATTTGTTTCTTCTTAGCTTTTCAATTAATAGCTATATTTTGGAATGGTCAATTTTTTCTTTGTTATCTTTTGATGCACTTGGCCAGAACAGAGACTATCTGAGTGGACTTTGTATGATGTCTGCGTGGGTGTATTCCAGGTGCATGACACTAAAAGCATGTACAAAAGCTCACCTAACTCTGAGGCCAGGACCCCCCCTCCTGAAAACGAGATTCTGAAATCTCAGTGGGATTTACCAGATTAATTAACAGTGTTTGACGGATTAAAATACAATTTAGTTCCAGCCTCATTATTGTCTCCCATCCAGGGTCCATCAATATTGTTCATGAGGTGACTTTCATTGAAATAATGTAAAAACTTTTGTTTTACATTTCAGTAATTTTACCCTCGTAATATTTTACTTCCATTATCCATAGTCTGTGTTTTCCTATCTCAGCTTGGCACACAGTTTAATTAACTCTGAGCTGAATTTCATTAAACAAAAGGATTCAAACAAACCTAACTCTTCCTCACCTTCCACCCATTTATTTTTGCTTCATCAACTCAGGGTGTGTTCACAGTAGTCCCAAGTGAACCAGAGTTCACTTTAAAATAACTATTGCAATGTAAGTGAGAGTGCATGCGCTTCACTGGAGTCTTGAGCAGTTTCCAGATTAATAAAGAGATGTTCTTACTTAAACCCAGCTCTAGTCAAACCTGCACCGCAGTAAAGAGCAGTATAACATACAGATTGCTACCCACCCAGTCCAAATATGTGCCACTCCTGCCCCATTTTACATTGCATCTGTAACACATGATAATGCGACTTCTACTTTGTCATGATTTAAAATGTAAAATGAGATCTTAATCATCATGAAATGTCATCAAACTGGTACAGCAAACAGCAATCCCAGTGTCTCCACAGATCTGACTGGTACCGCGTGGCACTGAATCTGACATTCCTCAGCCTCATGATAATACTATTCCGTCTGTCATTGAGCCGACGAATAAAACTATGCTTCAGACATCGAATGGCTGCCTCAAATGTCCTTATACCAGCAGACACAAACAGAATGCTTGTTATTTCCCATCTTGACAGTTGTCGTAAGTCACATTGAGTTTGTGAATTTTGTTGTATTTTGTCCATGGTTGTGCTGTGTATACTGTAAAGACACGAGTAAAAAATGCTTTGCGTCTGTAACTCCTTATGCTACCACAAGAGGGAGGAGTTCAATTGCTTTTATTGTAATCAATTTGGTAATTACCGTTTGCAGACACAGCCATGCAATAGTAAAGAACATCACAACGCCACCTAAGCAATTACCAAAACTAATGAACGCTACAATGACATAGTACGGGACTGAGAGAGGAGTTTTTGGAAAGAAGGGGCGGAGTTAAATGTTTGTGCCAGAAGTCCCAGATATCAGAGTGGATGGATCTAAATCAACTCAGGTTCAAAAGTGTAAAGCTCAAAATTGTTGGTTTGCATCACACATCTCCTCTAAAGTTGCACCACCTTTTACACCTCCTTAGACCATATGCCACTCAGTACAAATAATTGTAACCACAATAAACTTATAAAATATGCAAAGGAAAATACATAGTCTTCCACTCGGGATGTGCAGCTCACCCCAGGCGTGCAGACGAACATATGTATCATAAAACTAAGCCACATAAACGATCGATAGCATGCCCGTATCTTTTCATCACTGGATTCTCAAACTCTGCTATGGGAGCGGCAATGAAAACGCAAGTGTGTGCTCAGTGTATAAATGTGATTATTCACTCTCGAAACAGCTCATTTAATCCAATATCTTCAATCACAAGCTATTCACAATTATAAACGGTATTGTTTGTCAGGAAAGGAACGTGAAATGCAATTTGAAAAAGGGTGCAAGAGTGATTTTTGAAAGCCATTTGATCAGCATACATACATAACACAATCTAACTACAAAACAAGGGCTCTGTTATAGCCAAAACAAAAATTACTACATAATGCTGAAGTTATAAATAGAATAATGAATACACAGGGGCCATTTATCCAGCGAACTTCAAGCCTTGTGCAAGCCTTTGTACGAGGAAACTTATTTTGCTTCCTCTGTTTTGTTTCACAACTTTGCAGTCAGATAACCAATGTCCATGAATGTGTAATAAATGTCCACAAATGACATGACAGGATTGCAATCTCACTCCTCGCGGTGGGGGTGGACCCGGAATAAGAATTACCCTATGCTTTTGTATGGCGTCTTCTTTTTTTCTGGAAAATGGCTTTACAGCGTGGTCCAAAAGTCAGCTCTTGGCCCAACTTGGTTCCAGTTGTGTGTCAATGCTGAGGGGAGTATTCTTTTGGACCTGCCTAGTGGCAGCTAACCTATGCGTTAATCCGTTTTTTCACATTTCCCATTTTGTAAAAGCTCCACAGAAGGCCAAAGTGGTGGCATATTAGTTTCAATGGCGGAGATAGGCGTGACTACATCCGTTAATATTTATAGTCTGTGCTGTAAAGTTGTGAAGAAAAACACAGAAAGTAAAGTAATTTTCCTCATATAAAGGCATACACAAGGCTTGACTAGCTGTTCACATTTTTGACACTGGCCGTGAATCCACAGAAAACGCATAGGTTCATAAATGATAATATTCACATGAAACAGGTTGTGAAAATATAAACATACAGGCATATTCCTCCTTAACACCAGGTAGAAGATATTTTAGCACTAAAAAGTAGCTGCTCCGTCTGCTGCTTTCTGGTAAAGATGGCTGCTGCTGTTAAGTGCAGTTTCACATGTGGCCACTGGGAGGCGGCATAAAACGACGAGCCCTCATGGGACAGCTTATGGATCACACATCAGTTTCAACCATAGACTGTATATATTAACGGACAGAGTCACACCTATCTCCGCCGTTCTAACTAATGGGCCAAAAAATGTGCTGTACTGGAGCTATCCAAAATGGCCGCAAGTGGTCCCGCCCACAAGAAAATTGTGAAAAAAATCATCTGCGCATACGTCAGCCGGCGACAGCTCCATTCATTTGAACAAGAGACTTAAAAAATTCACAGCAAGTAAACTAGAGTGGTCCAAAAAAATTCACCCCCCTCAGCATTGACACACATGTGGAACGGAGCTTTGGGCCAAGAGCCAACTTTTGGTCCATCCTGTAAAGACGTTTTTGAGAGGTCTGCCAACGCTATATGTTAGCATTGGCTAATTCTACTCCTGGGTCCACCCCCATCGGCCCGAGGTGGTATTGCAAGCATGTCAGCGCACGTCATTTTGGCCACTTTTGAACCGGGACCCGCCCCCACTGGTTTCAACGCCAGAGATAGGTGCCGCTACGTCTGCTAATATTTACAGTTTAAGGACCGCACAAATACGTTGCACTAAAAAGCAATAAAGGGGACATAGGCTGTTTCACTTTTATCATCATAAGAACATTTGCAACACATGTAAAGTGCAAGGAAGTGTGTCTTTAATAAGGACTTCAAAAAATAGAGGGATTTTGTGCTCCTTCCATAACTTAGAGCCTACAGACAAGGCACAAACGCCTCTTGTTTTGAGTCGGGTTCTCAGGACAATTAAATCCGGTCATTAGAGTATCATATTTCTCGTATTGAGTCAGGAAAGAGGAGCCAAGCTGTTAAGACCGCATGCTGTGGTCTGATTTTTGTGGTTCACAAAGAAATACTTTTAAAAGACACTTTATGTTGGGACAAAAAATTACAGATTATTTTTTTAGGGAAATAATGTAGGGTACCTGAGCTGCACATTTTACGATATATTTAGAAAAAACTAAACAAATTAATAACAACATTACCTCCCAACCTACTGGCCTCCGAAATCCCAGCGATCCTTTCCATTGGCCGCCGGAATTTCATGCGTCTCCGTGCGTCCACCCACTCGATCTGCGCATTCAGCCCAAAGCAAAACTTGTCAAATCCTCAAAGCAGGTCCTGGTGCAACCCGATTTAAATCAACAACTTGCATACCTTTGCCTTCCAGAACTAGGATTTTCAGCTCTGAGCTCTTCTTCTTGAGCGTGTGAGCAGCAGTCAAGCCCGACAGCCCAGCGCCCACCACAATAACGTCCCAGATTTCAGCTGTCATGATGTGAGGGTAGACGCGGTGTGTGTGTGTGTGTGTGTGTGAATGAATGAAAGAAAGAAAGAGTGAAAGGAGTTGTCCGGTCTGTTTTTCTATCCCGTATCAGAGCAGGTTATCTGGGAGAGTGTCGTAACCCGCCGCACTTTGGAATGGTTGCAGAGGGCGACCTACTTGTCCGGCGGTCCTGTAGAATCACACAATGGAGGTGGACAGGTGGATTTGTGGGCGTGTATGAAGCTCCAGTTTCAGACTATTCACTGGAAAAGAGAAAAAATAACTCTATGTCAGTGTTATGTCCATTTTGTTTGTTTTTTGTTTGAGCACTTCCCTCTATAATGAGAACTTACAACTTCTATATGCTTAAGCCAGAGATTGTATACTAAGTTCTTGCCTCTTTGTAATGCTAAAGTCAGAGAGATTAGACTGGCTTCTTTATCAAAGTTAGAGATTTTATTGAGTTTTTTTTACAGAGGTCTTTTCTTGTGCTGTGTGCTCCTCATTCCTACCGTTCTGTAATTGGTAGTTCGTCACTGGAATTTCCCCACTGTGGGATGAACAAAGGATCTCTTAATATCAATCTTAAATTTAGTTTTCTACGTGCCATGTGCTTAACTGCCTCTATGACAACACAGAAGCAACAAGCAAAATCAGATGGCTACAAACCATACACATACAGTACATAAACAAATGTAAGACATCATTTTCAGTAAACGTCTCACACCGAATACACAATCTGATGTCTCCTCTCCCTCTCTTGCCTTTGTCAACAACAAAAGAAGCAACGGCAAAAACGTCATTGTGATACAACCGATTCATAATGTCATCCTCAGGCTTTCAAAAGATTAGAAGTTGGATCTGGATTCCGGATTAGAAGTTGTATAGATGGGTTGCCTAACTTTTTTGTCCTTAATAATACGTGTTGTTTTTCCATGCAAAAGTCTTCATCTTACAAGATAAAATGTTGCTATTGGGCTGAGAGCCAATGCAAGAAAGGTGTGTTTATTTGTACAGATTCAAATGTACAGATGTACAGATTCTATTTGTGTACATTTCGTTATGTGAGAATATCACCTTACAAACTGACAATGACAGCCTCATTCTGCTCTGAGTTCTTAATAAAACTAAATAATCACATCACATGACATTTAAATTAAAGAAGAAACAATCCTTCAATTGTATGCACAGCTAAACAGAACTGGTCAAACTTGGATTTAAACATTGTCAGACAAGCAGCCTGTCTCACATTTTCAGGAAGCCAGATCCCTGTATGCCTCAGAGTCCGAGTTGGCACCATGGATCTAGTATGATAACTAGACAGGGTATTACTAGCTTGGAGATGAACGACCCACGTGCTTTGGGGATTCTCGCGGTACTGCAGACTAGACCAGACTAAATTCACGTGGGCTACCCAGAAATGTTCCCCATAGAACTCAATAACTAAAACAGCTCGACCTCAGCTGACAGAGAACCTACAGCTTTAATAAAGGTCGGATTTTGTGGGGATTTTAGTGTCCCTTGTTCATCCTGAACCTTTTTTCGTCTTAAATCCTTTGGTTTTCTTTAAATCCACACTTTAGTGCCACAAACTCTGCACGTTTGGCACCCGCTCTAACTCCCGCTCTAGCTCCGCTCTGATCAGCTGCTCTGATTGGTCAGAGCGCGGCCGAGCCCCATGAGAGCCACACACGCGTATTTGGCGCAACGCATCATGGGAGTTCATCCACTGCGCAGAACCGGGAGTGCCAGACGATGCCCAAATACAGGCGAGTTCCGCTGATCTTTAGGCGTTCATGCCGGCACAAAGCGCCACTGAGCACAAACCATTCATTTGAATACGGCGCCATCTTGGATCGCAGGGGCTTGGTTGACACTAACATGTCACAAAGTTGAAATAGAAAAGTAAAATATTGCATTCTGTCCCTTTGAACAAAACACGTTCTCGTCATTTATCATCTGCATTACTCCTGTCCAAAACCAGAAGTGTTCATATCTGCTGTCCTTCAGGCAAAGTGCCTTTTCACACAGTCCAATGAAAAGTAAAGGACTCACGACGACACAAACTCACACGTTCCCACATGCAACACAATTCAAGAATCAACATTGACTGTGCTTCCTGCTTACGGGGAGAAGCCTCTGCACATCTCTTGGGACCAGAAAGACATTAGCATATGTTTCAAACACAAACACAAAAGAAATAAGATAACCCACAGGTGAAGAAATACACAGTGTGGCGCCTGGAACTCACCATGTGGTAGGAGCCTTTTCTGTCTTTCCAGCAACTTTTCCTGTTCTACTTTGAAAACACGAGGGGAAGAGCTGCATGCATAATAATGGTCTTCTCATAAATATTCATAAACAAGGAACTAATTTGGAATGGTTGATAGCACAGTTTAGTTAACAAGATGTTGTGACACACTTACAGAGAAGTCCTTGTTGCCAGCATAACTTTATTTTCATTCAATGCTTTGGAGTACACAATTATCTTTGCCAGTTTAGTTACATTGGATTCCCGATCACGTATAAAACTCAAAATCGCAGCCAAATACAGTAGCACTACACAAAATGACATGTCTCTGAAATGCCAACTGCCTGCAAGCTAATTTTACAGACTCCCACTCGTAATTATAGAGGTGCATGTAAATGAGTGTGGCATTAGCGGAGGACCAATCACGGGTGCAAATTAGCTTCTACTTTAGGTTTTAAACAAATTCGACAAAAAACATGTTATTTGAACTGTGCTATTAAGCCTCATTTCCACCACTACTGCATCTTTGTTGCATGTTGGAAGTGCATTTATTAAAAAAAATCAGCCTCATGTCTGTCATGTGTTTTTCTGGTGCGATGAATTGAACAAATGTTTGTACAGCAAAACACACTTGATTCTTTGCATCAACATACGGCATCCTTTTGCAGTAAACCTGTCGCACCGCTTGTTCTAGTGGGAACTGGAAATGCTTGGTAACGATGGTTGTATGTGGACAGATCAAGAGATCGTGGGAACATGACCTCACCAATATAAGATAAAGTCCCTGGCCAAATCCAGTCTCTAGTTTTTTCATAACCGCGCTTCTTCCAGAGCAGCAGCGGCACATGACCCGCTCCTCTCTCTGTGCAGTGATTGGCTGTCAGCCTCTCTCTTGTGTGTGCAGCTCATGCTCGCGCACTTGTTGATAAAAAAAAGCGAGGCACTGGATTCTAGTGGACAGCAACTGTTTACTTTCTAAATTAAAGCGGCAGTCAGATTAGAGTCTTGTGTGGTGTTTTGAGTATTTTTTTGCTTCTGCATTGCACCGTCAATGATGGGCTAGCATCCTAAACAAGAGAGCCATGAAACAATGAAAATAAAGTGTTCACTTGTACAATTCTGTTTTGTGGGTTGGAGGATGAGGTTGATGCAAGGATGACGTCCATTAGGCTGGTGCTTGCATTCAGAAGCTTATAGCCGTGTGCTCTCAACATTTAGAATTAATTAACTCATAATTCTGTGCTGCTCTCCCCTTGTTGCTGGTCCATTGCCTTTGTTTGTCTGGTTCCCTAGTTCCCGTGTTTTGTTTGGATTTTTGGTTTGTCCTTGGAGTTTAAATTGGTTCCTTCATTAAATCTATTTTTTTTTTGCATTCCTGCTTTTTGGGTCCTTCTTTAATGTCTCCTCATGACACTGATGATTGAGACAGTATGACCTTGCACAGAGTCAGTGTGGATGCAGAATGGTGCTGCACATCTTTCAAAATGTGTTTCTGAATAAGTAATCTTGTATCAAACTATATGTAGTTATCTATTGTGCACACATTTTGACATTTTAAATAAAGGATGAAAAGACGGAACAATGCTTCTGCCGACGAGACAAAAGGTAATTGTTCCATTGACAAAAAAAACTCAAAATAAGAGAAATGTTCATTATACTAAAAGTGATGTTTTGCCTATGTCTAGTCTCTTCATTGTTTGCAAATAATTACAGCCTTTGCGATTTGCTACTCTGTGGGGTAGAATGCAAATGTGGCAGTGTACTCACCAGCAGGGGGCGCTAGGTATACACAACCGCGCTATGTGCCATTGCTTTTCCTCTGGTCTTTCTCACTTCCAGCTGCTTCATAAAGAGATAAATAGATAGATGCTTTATTGATCCCCTTGAGATAAATTCAGGTGTCCAGTTCCATGCACACAAACAAAACAAATAAATACATATTTCTAAAAGGAGATGTAAATAATAATACAATGCAACAGCACTTTTGGTCACAGCAGCAGAGATGGTGTAGCCTATTGCTAAACTATTAAAAACAAAATGAAACCGATCAATTAAATATGTTTTTTGTATTGCCCTAAATGAAAACAACACAGATGAAAGAATCAAACAACAAACACACATGATTCAGTGGTCAATAGGAAGCAGGATGACCATAAATGTTCATTATTGTCCATGAATGTCTTTAAATGTCTCGGTTCATCACTGTCCTTAGAGCCTCCTGCATCAGCAAGGAATGATTGAAAAAAAAAAACGGGAAAAAAGTGAGAAACCTTGGGAAGGTTCACATTGAGAGAGTGTCCGCTCTCATGGAGTATAGAGTTATTGTTCATTGTGTTGTGTGCTCCTCATACTGTCTGTAACTTGTGAAGCAACACTGACATTTCCCCACAGTGGGATGAATAATGAATCTCTCTTAATCTTAATATGTTTGAATAATTCTCTTCTTTATCAAAGTCTTGAAGGGTTGTATTCTTCTGCAGTCTTTTCAAATCTACAGCCCTTCCAAAGGCTTCACTCCAACCACAGAAACACAATGTTTTTTTATATTTGTTCTATCACCGGCCTTCATTAACATCTCTCACCCACTCAGGAGATAGAGGCACTTTCCCTCCTCTGAAACAGGTTCTGAATCAGGATGGGGAATTTATGGTAAACTGCAGGTGTTGTCGGCTCTTCCTGAAACCGGTTTGATCTGCATCCTTCTTCTTGCTGTCAGATTATTTGTGTTGTGTTATATGTGGCCTATTGAATAATGTCTTTGTTTTGTGAAGTACTTTGGATTGTACTGTGTACAAGTGGCACAAAAGCAAAGCAGGTTATAACCCTCAGGGGTTGTCAGCCCCAGAGCAGGTCTGTCCATCTACAGTGTGGTCTGTCCTGACTCCTGCACATGTGTGTGGCTTGGTGTCCTGCTGACATGTGTGTGGCTGGTGTCCTGCAGACATGTGTGTGGCTGGTGTCCTGCAGACATGTGTGGCTTGGTGTCCTGCAGACATGTGTGTGGTGTCCTGCAGACATGTGTGTGGTGTCCTGCAGACATGTGTGTGGTGTCCTGCAGACATGTGTGTGGTGTCCTGCAGACATGTGTGTGGTGTCCTGCAGACATGTGTGTGGCTGGTATCCTGCAGATGTCGCCGGCTCCTACAGCCAGAGCCCTGTTTGCCGTCAGGTCGTGATCGCAGAGGGTCGGGGTGCCTGATGCCCATAATGCACCACATGGAGGTGGGGTTGGTTTTGCAGTACTCCTATTGCTACTCCTCCTGCTGCTACTACTACTAGTACTACAATGAATACTTCTACTGCTACTCCTGCTGCTATTACTACTACTACTATAATAAATACTTCTACTGCTACTCCTCCTGCTGCTGCTACTACTACTACTACCACTACTACTACAATAAATACTACTACTACTACTCCTACTACACCTACGACCACTGCTGCTACAACTACAATAAAGATTACAACTGGCATTACAACGACTGCTACTACTACTACAAAAAATACTAATGCTGCTATTCCTGCTCCTACTTATTCTACTGCTACTACCATTACTACAATAAATACTGCTACTACCACCACACACTCACGCACGCACACGCACACACACACACGCACACATACACAACCACAAACGCCATTGTGTGGCTAATCATAACTGGATGAAGGTGTTGTATGCTGTTTTGTGATTCCAGGGAAGACCTGAGGACATTTCTATTTACTGCTGTATAAACAAGAGATCATATCATGTCCTCACGGGAAATTATAACCAATGATAAATAGAGTATTTGTTGTTTATTTATAATTGGATGAATAATAGATCTATAGAAAACTTCTCATGGCAGTATTCATACAACAGTATTCAGATGATCTTTCTCATGGGCAAAAACGAATTGTGGTTTTTCTCAAGTATTTCATTTTGAATTGCTCATAATTGATGCACACATATAGAGTTTCATGTTTATATTCGTTTATTCCCGGTTTAACAAAAAGCAGAATTTCAAGACACGCGGAGAATAAGATATTGTAAAGGTCCATGTTGTTCAAAATGTCCATCACAGAAGTACACTGTGACCTTAAAGACTTTATACTTCAGATATTGTATCATGCGTTCGATTTAATGATTTTTTTCTTTTTCCACTGGAATGAGCTCCCCTTTTTTAACAGGATGCCTTTTACAGTTTTAAGCAGAGTTTTATGTTTGAAGCCCAACCTATACTTAAATCTATTATTGTAATTATTGAATTTCTTTAACTAACCATGGTCAATATTGTTTTTGTTATTTGTACTTGGAGTCAAAAAGTGGGTTGTTTTTTTTCTTTTCCATACAGATAATTTTGGATTTTCTTTTTCTTTTCATTTTTAAACATGGTTTGTTTTTAATTTAATTTTGTATGTTTTTAATCATTTTGGCAAAAGAGTACAACACCAAAATTAAGCTACTATCACTACGACTACTACTACAAATTCAGATTAAGATTACGAGATTTTCCTACAGAGGGGATATTTCAGTGTTACACAGCACAAGTGAACGATAACTCAGAAATAAAATAAAATCTCTCAATTTAGCGTTATATAGAAGCACAGTGTAAGTGTAAAATCCTGTTCTGGGACACAGTAAAATGACAGTGGTCACATGTGGTTCGATCTAATCTATTATACTTCCTTGTCAGACACACAGTTTATTCTGCGACTGAAATGTCTGTCTAACTAAAAGCCATGCCAAAGAAAACTGGTGCAAACAGGTAAAACAGGTGACTCTGGACCAATGAGATGACTCTATGCTAATGAGGGGGGCGTGGCCTTCATGAGTGGAGTCTGTTTCCACATACTCAGAGCCCAAGACTGAAACTACACAGCTCAATGTCAAGCGAGATCTGGTCAAAAGTTTTCTTAGCCAGTTGATTTGAATGTGTTTTTAAAGGCCCGGGAAGTGTACATATTTTTCAACGTTATGTTCAGACAAGTTTGTGACGGATCATCCTTCAACGTCTCATCTCAAGCTGCTATGTTTGTGCTCTGCCTAGCAATAGCATTTACAGGTGAGGGAACACATTTTAAATAGAAAAATAGAATATGCAGACTAAATCTATGACATTTTGAACAGCTAAAAAACTAACCAATATTATTATGATTATTAGATATCATTTGTTGAGCTTATATTTTTGTTCATTCTTTCAGATTGCAGTAAGTATATTTCTGTAGGCAAACATATCATAATGAAAACTATTGTTCAAGAGTTTATCCCGTGCATATGCCTGTCCCTGTAGTGGTGTAAGCTTTCCCTGGGTTGTCACGGCGACGCAGCTCAGCCAATCGAAGGCCGCCCTTCTGTCCCTAGACTCAACCTGATAACGTCTATGGGGAGGAGGGCTTTTTTTGTGTGTCTTTCTTGTCCAAGGCGTGGTTCATTCTGTGTGAAGTAGACGGTTGTGAGAACTGTGATGATTGTGAATTGAATGTGGACTGTTTTTGTTTTAGGATTGGGACCAAAGGGAATGGAAAATAAATTTAAAAAGTTGTATTCGACAACAATGCTTCCCCATCTCCATTATTTGCTTTGTGGAAAGTTTTTTTTCTAGCAACTTTTGTATCAAATTATTATTGTTGTTATTATTGTGATTATTGTTCTTCTTCGTATTATTATTATTATTATTATTATTATTATCATCATCACAATCATTGCCATTATCATCATCATCATCATCATTATTTCTTTATTTGTTATTATTATTTGTTGTTTTTATTTACTGAACTTTTTTTCTTAATCATAAAAACATGATTGGACTGCTTTACAAAGTTGTCAATTTGCCAACAACAGATCAGAGAATCAAAGCAGGTGTATTACAAGGGGTGCTTGAAAATCATACTATTCAAAAAAGGCTCTTGTTTTCTTGAATTAGGCAAAATGTCTCGATTTGAGTTATATTTTCTTAAAACAACATTTGCCAATAGGACAAGCCTGTAGTCCTGATCCAACCACACTGTCAGTCAATTCATATTTCTTTTGAGTACAATAAGACTTTTAGGATATTTTTTCTTCTAATAGGACAAGGAGGAGTGTGCTTAAGCTAATTCTGTTTAATTGCCTGACATTAGGGAGAATTAGCTTCCCCACAGACTTTGTCGCTTTAGAGGAAAATGTCAAGTTAAAAGACAAAATGAACTCTCTGAATAGAAAATCAAATTAGTTCTTGTTCCTTTTTGAAATCTTGTTTAAAGAGGATCACCCAAATCAAGACATACTGGAATTTTCTTCTTCTATGCTTTATTGTCTGTGTTATAAAATTAATCCTCTGCATTTGACCCATTACTGCGATGCCCCCGGTGGTTGCCCAGAGAACCACCTTCAGATGTCGATCAGGACGACTACAGCTGCAGGATTTTTACCTATTGTATAAGTGAGAGGGGTTGGAACTATAGACTGTATATAGATAGACAATGCTAACCTGCAAACCCACTAGGGAAGCGCTCATGGGCAAAGTTTGGCTCCAACTTGCTCTTGTTCTTATTGTCTTACATTCAAAAGTAACCTCCTCTTGCTCAGTAGATTTTGGGATTAACAAATCTGTAGTTCCCCTCAGTAATCCTTCGGTTTATGTTGCGATAATGTCTTTGTAAATCCAGATATGAGCCATACAAGGATTGATCAGATGGCGTCATTTGCGGGGGAAACTACGATTTGTCCCAGCGACCACCTGGGTGAATTATGGTTGAGAGGATTTTTTTCCAGTCGGTGGGCAAGAGTTTTTGTGATCATTTTAAGTGTGGGGTCTTTGTTAGGTTTTAGAAGTAATGTTATTATGGCATGATTCATGTTGGCAGCGAGAATGGAAGTTTGTTTTATTTCTGCAATCAGTCTTTTAAAAACAAGGGGTTTAATATGGACCAGAAGTGTTTGAAGAACTCAGCGGGGAAGCCATCCGGACCCGGAGATTTATGACTGGGAATCTTTTTTATCAAGTTATAAAGTTTGTTTTTCAGGATCGGTCTATTAAGGATTTGAATTTGATCTGAGTTAAGTTGTGGGAGATTAAGCATCTATGCTATCTTGTGAAGGTTTATTTTCTGATGCATAAAAAGTTTTAAAAAATATTGTTAATTTCCTGTGGAGACGGTGTTAACTTCCCTGTTGAGTCCCTCAATGACGAAATTGTAGATTTTTCTTTGTTTTGTTTTATTAGACCGGCTAGAAACTTTCCTGAATTATTATTACTGTAAAGATTTTCTTGTTTTAGGCGTTGAAGTTGGAATTGTACCTTTTTATTAGTAATTTTGTTTAGCTCAAACTTATATTTAGGTGGTCTTAGCAACCACCTAACGCCGTCGGACCAAATACCCATATAAGGAAATTGGCTCCAGCTAGTTTATTTTGAAATCGGCTTCTTCCGCGTTAAGGCGAACACTTCGGTGGCATTGGCACTCGGTCAGTCTGCTCCCAATATTTGGTCTATGGTTGTATCCAAATAAGCCTCTACCTCGTCCAACCCATTTTCAACCTGTATAATTCTTTCTATTTTGTTCTGTTTTTGTTATTGTTGAATATGTATGAAGACTTTGACATTATTTGATTGTTGATTGATAGAAATGGAACAGAATTCGGGCGTTCTGCTCTCCCAAAATTCCATCCGATGGGCGGAGGAGCGACTGAATTTTGCGTTGCATTATGGGTAACACTTGCCTTCGCAACTTCCGGTTCTCTCTGCCCGGCGCATTTTCTCTAAATGGTTGAGTGTTTTCGTCATTTTACATTATGCAAATACATTCCCGTCTCTAACTAGTGGCATATCGCGCAAATCATCCGTCCAATTCACATTCTTCCCTCTTAGCTGAACTTCATTCTCATTGTTACCATCTGTCACTCGCACACACAGCCGTTTTCGTTCACTCTGCTCGCTGTCATCTTCTTCTAAATCTTCATAAACACCATCCGCTCGTTGAACTAGCAACAACAATTCCTCCTTTCGTTTTCCCACACTGCAAATACCCTTTCGCTTCAACCTTTCACGCAATTAAGGCACTGTCAATCGTTTGTTGTTTTCGTGAGCCATATTCGCCATTGTATGAAATCAACCGGAAGTGAACTGGGCAACAAACGGTGTCATTTTTTGATCACAGCGCCGCTCAGTGGATGAAATTTTGGGAGAGCAGAACGCCCGAATTGGCATAATCCTTTGTTGTAGTGATTTCATGATAGACGTTTTATCAGCGGACTGCATGCATTTAAATGAGTTGGAGCTATTATCTGAATTTTTATTACTTTTGGCACTTTTTATAACCATGTGTTCTAAAATGAGTAGCAGCCATGTATTTTTTACACAGGTCATTTTTTACTTCTACATCTTGCAGTGTGGATGTAATCTTTAAAATTATTTCACATTTTGTTGTGTTTTATGAAGCTTTCAAGACCATTGTGTGTTGTCATTATTCACTGGATCTGGAAACTGGGTCTTGTCCAAAAATATTTTCTTGCATTGGTGTGTATATCCTTGGTACATAGAGTCAATTCAAGTAGTTTCTTATAAGTTTGAAATAGTTATGCTTTCTTTGTGTGACGATCATTCTCTGGAGCCTGGAGGAAAGCACTTTAGAGCTGTGTCAAAGCTCCTCCGGCTTTTTGCTTCAGCGGTGAATATATTGTTTGTTCAGTATAACACAGACACTTTCAATTGCTTCGGTGGAAAATTTTCTTATTACTCTATTTGTTACTGTTTGAGATTGTTTGTGTGGGAATGTAGCGGCGTACGTGAGGTGTGCATTGGGAAACTATAGAATATTGTTTCAAAGTTCATTTATTTCTGTAATTCAACCTAAGATACACTAATTCTTTGTTTTTCAACCAGTGGGCCGTGGTATGTGAGTGTGCCTTGAGATGTGATTTGGTGTACCTTGGGAAATTATCCAATATCACCTGAAATAAATGATTAGAAAATATGTCTTTGCACTAATTTTCTACAGAATACACTTTGATGAGAACTTACTTTTGTTACTAAAGGCCGCAGAGTTACATTTTTGTATCAGTTTAAGCTGGTGGTGTGCCATGTGATTGTTGAAAAAGGTGTGCCACGACTCAAAGAGGTTGGGAAACGCTGTATGAATGTATTTGGTATAACTGATAATAATTGATTCACAGCTGTATAAACCCCAAATAAAACATTTCAGAAACTCACAATATTTGAATCATCAAAATAGAACAAATATAGGCTTGGCATTTGTCACTTTGCATGAAATAAGTCTGTGTCGTATACTGCGTCCAGATTGTTGAGCAACAGAACTCACTTTTGAACACATCTTTGTTACGGCACAATATGGGACCCAAAAAGGCGACTCAAGCGTGAAAAATAAAAATACAATTTATTTAAGGAGGGGGAGTGCTGGAGGGTCTGGAGGCAAGGAGGTCAAAAACAGGAACACAGGAACTGCCAAAAAACAACAAAAACAGGTAAGTACAGGGATCGAGAAATAGCTCAAGAAAACTAGCCAAATGTAGGACTTTCACCAGTAGATGAGACGAAACAATCTGGCACCAACAGGCTGTAGAGCTGGGTACTTGAAGAGATGTGATTGCCTCCAGGTGTGCAGTGCAGGCCCCACCCCTGCCCTCACACAGAGGGAAGGGAGGGGGAGTAGAGCAGGCAGCAGAGGCACAGGATGTGACAGTACCCCACCCCCTAGGGGGCGCCACCGGGCGTCCAACCAGGCCGGTCAGGACGGGTCCTGTAGAAGTCACGTAGGAGCGAGGCATCAAGAATGTGGCCCCGAGGGACCCAAGAGCGCTCCTCCGGACCGTACCCCTCCCAGTCCACCAAGAATTGAAAACCGCGGCCGCGCCGGCGGACACCGAGAATGCGGCGGACGGAAAAGGCCGGGTGACCAGATGATAAGCATTTCTTAGATCCAGTTTAGAGAATACTGTGGCCTGATGAAGTGGTTCGAAGGCTGAGTCAATGAGTGGTAATGGGTATTTGTTCTTCACAGTGATTTCATTAAGCCCTCTGTAATCAATGCAAGGACGTAAGGACTTATCCTTTTTGTCCACAAA